CGGATGGTTCGTTTCCTGCGCATCAATGGCAAGATCTGCGTATTTGTAGGCAAGTTCCCAGACGGCGTACTTTGTATCCAGGTGCACCAGGGACCAAGCCAATTGCATTCGGTTGGCGCAGTCTTGCTCATTCTCTTCAATGAGCCGGCTTTAATCATCCTCCATCGTGGATTTGAAGTTCTGACTAGCCTTGGCCGCCTCCTCCTTTAGACGGACGTTGTGAGCCAGGAGCGTCGTATTCTCCTTCCTAGCCAAGTCCAGAAGTTTGGAAGAATTCGTCACCTTCTTCAACTCCGCTTCAGCATTCTCTTTTGCCGCCTGGAGGTTGAAAATCTTGGTGTGGGCTTCATTGAGAGATTTTTGAAGAGACTTGATGGAATCCGCCTGTTGCATGATTATGCTTTTAGTTTTTAATTCATGCATAATCATGGAATATTGGGCAACGTTATATGCCTCAGACGCATCCCGTTTAGCCCGTCTTACCTCCTCGCATTTGCGGGTGTAGGCTTTCTTGAGCCCCTCCACGCGCAGCATTGACTGCAAAAGGCCAAGCAGTGTTAGAAGGGGTCAGACGGTATAATAACTTTACAAATTGGAAGAGCATATACCTCAGCCAGTCCGGCCATAACCTGGTCGGCATTGAAGGTGTTGATCCCTGGGATCGCCTACTTCTCCTCTCTGGGTACGGCCTTCAGCATAGCCCGGGCGTACTGTTGTACATCCGGCTAGCGAGGGGAGTGATCTGCACCAGAAAAAGATGGTGAGAAGGCAACATACTTCCCTCTTACGGACTGCCGGCTGCCAGAAGAGTCTTCTGGCTGGAGCTGGGAGTGCGACTTGACCCGCATAGGCTTGCCAAGCAAAGAAGGGTTGAAGGGGTCAGTAGTACCTTGAGATGCTAGCAAAGGGTCGCGACTGCCCTCAGCCGGTACAGAGATGCCAGATTCCCTAGGCGGTGCAGTCTCCTTTTCGGGGCCATCCGGCTGCCTGGCGGATAGATCAAACCCAGGCTGAGGTTTTTGACAGACTTACCCCCAACTGTCAGACGGCTGGGTACTGTCAATGAGGAAGTCTTCCTCGCTTTATTTTGGGTTGGCAGCTCCTCGCCAGGTCGAGGCCTTATTAATTTTGCGATGGAGTGGGGCACCTTGCTCCCACCCTGAAACAGCGCACAAAAAGGTCAGGCGGCAAAGAAGTTAAACGGAAATCAAAGGAAAAAGAAAGGAAAAGCAAGATACCTTATTCTTTGCTGCCTGGGCAGCAAGCTTTTTCTCCGCATTAGCCTTGCGGATTTCAGCGACTGACTTAACAGGCGTCTTGTCAGCAGGCAACATAGCTAGGCCACGCACTGCACAAAAGAACCCATCCAGTTAAAAGAATGGTAAAAAAAATGATGAATCATTACAAACAAAATAAGGTCAATCGCTAATGTGACCTACGTTTATCAAACTGAGTGCTAAGCTTATAGACGGACAAAAACGCCTCGTCACGAAGAAATTCGTGCTTTGGCACCCAATTTCTGGGTACGCTTATTATCTCCCCATTGGAGAGAGTAGTTGTGGTCTGTTCAAAGAATTTGGACTCAATTATTCGCTCATAGTCCTCATCCGGGATACGAGGCTTTTTGCATTTATGGCCCAGGAGGTCCGGCTTCCGGTTGTATGTCCTATACTCCCAGTTTTCCTCTTGGGTGGGAGCAGAGACCAAGTAGAACCTGTTCTTCCAGTCCGACCACTTAGACGGTTTGTCTAGGGTCATTAGGTACTGGGGATAGGTAGTCAATGTGTACCAGGCTCTCCAACCGCCTGGGCTTCTGCTCAAATAATACATGTGAGCAAAGGCCTCCCAGCCGGGGTTGAGGTCTTGCATCTCGCAGGCGGCTATGTATCCCAAGATGTTAACCCAAGAATTAGGGGTTAACTGCCAGATGCCCGGGCCATACCCTCGGAGGATGACCTTGATTGTATTATGAAGAGGGAAGCAGAGACCAGCCAAAAGCGCCGCTTCATAGCAGCTGAAGTACCCATCCGCATTGGGCTGCTCGTCCTCCCAAACGATAGTGCCCATCTCAGGCGGCATAATTATTCTCCAATCCTCTCCAAGAGGACGGATCTTTACAAAGTCTGCTAAATTGCTGGCCATGCTGGCCCTATCCTTAGCTGAGAGGGCAATAAGAAAGGGGTCGCCTTTATTGTTCCAAGTAGGCCTTTCTTCCGCCTCACTATCAGCATCCGGTGTCAAGAGGCTGCTACTACTGCCGCTTTGTTATGAGCCGGATGAGGAGGCGGCCTCGCCATCACTTGCATTCTCTGTTGGGTTTTCCAGCTCGACCCTAGAGGGAGAGGCGGTATCTTCACCGTCTCCCTGATCCCTTCCCAAAATCCCATCACTGGGAGTGCTTGGGGTGCCATGCGATGACCCCCTTGTCATCTCTGCCTGATCAAGGTCAGGCGGCAACTCCCTAGAGTTTTCTCCCCTGTACTCTGGATCGAAGGCAGTCTTTTTAGTACGAGCCATTGCGTCCTGCACAGAGACAGAGACGGTCGATTTCGGAGATGAACAAGGAGACTCGCCGTACCCAGAAGCGGCACCCCTAGTCCTAGACTCTGTCGTACCAGGAGACCGGCTGACCTCTAAATTGTGGTGTGCCGTGTGTGTGATGGGTGAGGTCATTATTCTAAAATATGTACAGCCAGAAGATTTAAAAATAAAGAACCTTCAAAAGGCAAGAAACCGAGACGTTACCTTGAAATTGAAGAAGAGTGTGGAGAAAGAAGACGAAAGTTTGTTGACCAACGATACCCCAGACGATATCACTTTGAGCAAACTGCAAATTGGTAAAGAGAAGAAAAGTTAATCACCAATGTTGCCCAAAGATACCACAGGCGGGAAAAGCCGGTTGTGGTAGATATGAAGAGCAAGTAGTCTGGAGATTTTATTAAAGGTTGTCCAAAGACCACCTAGACGGTATAAACCGGCTGAGGCCCATCAACAGACAGCTTGCAAAAAGAATTGAACGGAACTACAACAGGCGGCAGAAGGCCGGTTGTGTATCTGTTAAAGTAATAAATCCATAGACTGTTCGCGGATACCCCAGACGGCATACGGCCGGTTGGGGTGCCAACAAAGTAGCTCAGAAGGGAACTGCTTGCTCGTATCCCAGACGATATGAGACCGGCTGAGGGAACATCGAAGTAGTTCAAAAGAAAGTTTTATTAAAGATGCCCCAGACGGTGTAAACCGGCTGAGGGTCTATTGAATGCAACTTACCAATGAGATTGCTTGAAAATGCCCCAGACGGTGTAAACCGGTTGAGGATCTATTGAATGCAACTCACCAATGAGATTGCTTGAAGATGCCCCAGATGGTGTAAATCGACTGAGGGTCTATTGAATGCAACTCACCAATGAGATTGCTTGAAGATGCCCCAGACGGTGTAAACTGGCTGAGGGTCTATTGAATGCAGCTCACCAATGAGGTTGCTTGAAGATACCTCAGACGGTTTAAACCGGCTGAGATTCTAAATGGATGCAATTTATTTTAAATATTGCCTAAAGAAGCTCTAGACGGCAAAGGCCGGCTCAGCATAACCAAACATCCAAATAACTGACTAAGTCAGGAGGATACCTTAGTGAGACGGGCAACGAAACACAAACGGTATCCGGATGTATTGAGGTTGAAGGCTGTTTGCACGAGCAAGCAGGCGGGGTCAGGAGATCTCTCTTTTTCTCTCAAGGAATTTCTCTCAAAAATGGCAAAGTGAGGAATGAAGGGAGGGAGATCCCTATTTATAGGAAATCTCAAAAGGTGAACCGTCACCTTCTCCTCCCCCATAGTTTGAAATTTGAAAAATAGAGGGAAGGAGGCGAACCGTCGCCCTCCTGCCTGTTGACACATGTCACAGGCGCCACGTGGCACAACCACGTCAGCACCTGTGAGGGGCAAATGTTTAGGGTAAAAATTACCCTAAAAACGTGGCCCAATGAGGGCCTAACACGTGTTGCCCTCCTATAGCACCATGGGCATCCAACCAATGGATGCCACGTGGCATCATACCCCCAATGGGGGAGCAGATCCTCATCTGCTATAAATAGAGGAACCATCCTCATTTATTGACATTCATAAATACGTACACAAAACCCGAGCAATATTAATTGCGGAATCTCTCTGAATCAGGGGGAAATACCCATTTACTTTCCGCGCGTTTACCTATTCGTAAATCATACTAACTTGATCGTCGGAGGCGGAACTCCACCCAACCGGAGTTTCGTGGTTTTGCAGGTACAGAAGTCAGGCGCGCATACTCTGTATTGTAACTCTCTCGAGGGACCAAAAACACCCGAAATAAAGGATAAATACGTAATTATAGGTTATTTTACGGGCGTTAATTGGAGGCAACGCTTAGCTTTCCACATAAAAAAAGACAAACAAGTGATAATGACCTAAAACTAATATCTTTACTCAACTTCCATCTCAACCTTCATTCAACATCTCTTCTCAATTAAAAAAATAAGAATAAAAAAAAATTCATCATCTTATGATTGATTTCTTAAATTTCAGGTATAAGCAAAGAAAAAAAAAAAAAAGAAAAAAATCAGGTATGCTTAAGTCATCATATTTTTGCTTAAAAAAAAGGTCATCATATTTAGTTACTTTATTTATATTTGCATTTTGTGTTTTTTTTTTCACAAAACCTCTAATGTGGGACCCATACTTCTATGTTTGGCAATTTGACATAACAACAAAACATTAATCCGTATAATATAAAGTCTTTCACTAAAAAAAACTTTATATTATTATATGGTCGCACCAAATAAAAAATCACTTTCTCTTTTCTCAAAAAATAAATAATAAATAAAATATAAATCAATATCTCACAAGGGGACAAATTAAAGAGAAAATCAGCGGTTAAAATTAATTGAAAATTTTAAAAATTCATGAATTTGTTTTTCTCTATCTTACTCAGAAACCCATTTATAAAATATAAAATAAAAAAAATATTGTTTTTAAAAGAACCTAAAAAAAAGGAGAAGGCGGCTCTCTTGGTTTGCTGGAGCCATTCTTTCTTCTATCTTTTTTTTTTTTTTCTCGCTCCAATTTTTTGGCCCAAAAAAGATTTCCGATTGTAAGTCAGAATAACAGTACGGAAAATTAATTTCTATATTTCATGGTGTTCTTGAAATAATTATTGTGTATAATAATTTTCAGCAAAAAAATTGGAATTTTGGATATTGGGTTTCGAGCTTCTGGAGTCGAATCTCAATTATTTTTTTGTTAATTGGGAACTCCCAGGTAAGATTCCAACTTTCTTAATCTGGGTTTTTTATAAAGTTGGGTATTTTGTTGTAAATTTATTGTATCTGTATGAATTTGTTTACGCTATCAATTGATTATTCGTGGGGTTTTTTTTTTTTTTTCATGTAATCATGTCTTGTTATTGGTTGTTAATGAGTATATTTGAAGTTCAATTTTTGTCCATTTCAAAAGGTTGAATTTTTGGGGGTTTAATCTAATTATTCCCTTTACTGTTGGATTGATTCTGTTTGAGTGATTGATAAAGGGGGTAGTTCAGTGATTTATTATTAAAAAAAAAAAAAAAAAAAAAATTGGATGTGAATTTTCTTTGGGAGATGATTTTGGGGCATACATGTGGGGCCTACTTTGCCAGAGTTTGATTTAGGGTGTTAGATGATATTTTGGATGATTGATCATTATTGAGAAGTTCTATTGATTGCATATGATCTTAGTGGTTTTTTATGGAGTCAGTTGATTGGTAATAATTTTAGATGGTTGATTAGTGTGGGACCTGCATTACCATGTTCTGCTTATTCACTTTGGTTTAAAGATGGATGGAGAGCTTGATAGGTTTCAAGTAGCTCTATGATGCTCCTCTGTTTGTATATCGCCTCAGTAGTATCTTTCGGGTTTTGTTGATTGGAGGCGATTTTCGATACATAGTATTGGATCCCCATTTGGGTTTGGTTAGTTTTGATCGTATATGCAAGGTTTTTGGTTTTAAGGTTACTAGGTAGTTTTATGAATTTTGTTGTAGTTGGCCATTTTTTGTATTTGCCTCCACAAGACCACAAATGCCTGGAGATGTCTGTTAATTTGATCAACTGGGTGAACTTTACTATCTAAGTATCTTGTTCTGTGGTAGGACAGATGGTGGATTGTATGATTTTGAAGTGTGAACTCTTTTCACGTATTTTCTGGAGATTTAGGCTTTTCTTAAATTTTTAACCGTTCCCCTTATCGTAAATGAATTTGTAGCATCTTTGAACTAATTCTGGATATAGATCTTTATGATTTGTTGAATGATACATACATAAAAAGTTAAGTTAAAAAAAAAATCCTGGATGTTTGTGCTGTTCTATGATTCCATGTAGTAAGGGGGTAAGTATCGTTCTTTACATCAACATGGTCCAAATGCCTCTAAGAAGCTTCCTACCCTAGCCAATTCAAGGAGGGATGGATGTACACAACCTTACCCTATATGTTACGGAGACTATCCAATTGAAACAATATATCATACCTGATGCTGTGGGTTAAAGACCTTAAAGTTACCCTGTTAGGTTCTTTATGAGTTAAAAGGCGGCTAGTGCTTCCCCGATTAGTTTGTAGCTTTGTGTTTGTGTTACTTTGTGGGGATATCTTGTCCTCTTGATGTGCAGTTTCCCAAAAATAAAAAAAATAAAAATAAAATCAACACAGACACCAAACAAACTTTTACTGCTGAACTTGGTTTGGAACTATGGGCAATTTGATGACTCATTTTAATATATTCTGTTGAACTTTGTTGGAAATACTTCATCTTGATATATACAGAATATTAATAAAGTTATCTGTTGTTTCTTTTTCCTGCAGAGTCTGTAACTTATTGATATGCATGTTGGCAGTTGAGAATTGAGATACCAATGAGAGTCAGTTGATCTGTTCATTTGGAACTGTAAAATCGGTTCTTTGGGGATAGTTGATGAACTTAATACCTTTGGAGCTGGTTTTATTGATTTATGGATGGAGATGAATATGCGTTCTGCTTTACCAATGCAGACATCAAGTGGAAATTGTTACAATGAACTGAAAGTTCCTGGATCATACACTTCTCCTCTACCAGTCCTGGCTAATCCTTTAGAAGATTTTCCAAAATCACCTGATCCGTTCTTTGTGTCATCATCAAGGGAAATGATTGCAAGCCCCTTACAGATGCAGGCTGACCCGGTAGTTTCTCATATTGGATCTTCCAGTAGTGCTTCTCCATTTGTAGGCGGATTCCCTGCTGATCTGCACTTCCCTTCATTCGCACCTAGTGAAAGGCTACCTCAGAATTCGCCTTTCATTTCTCAGTCAGTTGGTGGTGGAGCGAATTATCCTTCAAGTCACGGTACTGCATCTGATTTTCAGTCGACTGGCTTCATCAACTATCAGAAAGATGATGACAACAATTCTTGGAATAGTAGTCATCTCCAGGATCTACTTGATCTTCCTGAAGGTGTTTCCATTGTAAATGGTCAAGTGGGAAATAGTACAGAAGTAATGTCGAGTGAGAACCATCTAAAAAGAATTGGTTGGCGAGAAATGGATCTTTATGCTGACTCCATTGAGCCAAACTGGAATGAGCTTTTGGCTGATTCAAACACATTAGACCAGCAACCAAAGGTATGGTTTTGCTCTTGTGTAGACAGCTGTACTGTTACTGTTGTCATTTATAACATGTCCAAAGGAAGCCTCTAGCTTTGGGTGGCTAATGTAGTCTATATGTAAGGATTCTAATATTCACTTATTTTTACCCCCCCCCCTCCGCACACACAAAAAAAAAGGGAGCTTTTTATGTCTATTTTCTCGCCCTTGGACATTCCCCGTAATGATGTATGAATCACATACATTCTTTTTAGCATGTTCTTGTTTCTTGCTGTATTCACTTTGCTCTTAGAAAGTGATTGCTTTCCCACGTGTGACTATGCTCTATCTTGCTCAGTGAACTAGTGAAGAATTAAATCATAATGAATCTTTTATTTTGATTTCAACTTGTAGGTGCCGCAGTCCTCCACAGATACAGTAGTGCCTCAGCCACAAACTCAGCAGCAACATCCATTGCCTTCTAGAGAAGCGTCTGTTCCTGCTAATCCAACATCTAGTACACAAAATAAGGCTCGTATGCGCTGGACACCAGAACTTCATGAATCCTTTGTTGATGCTGTGAATCAGCTTGGTGGTAGCGAAAGTGCGTGTCTAACTTTCTGCCATTTAATTTTGACAGCATTATTAGTGTTAGTAAGGATTATTAAGACTGGCTGTGCAGACCTTGTGGTGGGAAGTGGCCCAGTCTGGGCTGAGCCAGCTACGGAGTCAATTTGGTTTATGGCAAATGTGGGCCGAGCCAAGATGCTTTGAGCTGGCTCAGCCATTGGGTTGTTTCATCAACTAATGGAGCTAGTCCACATTGCACCATGCAATTCATTAATTAGGTTAACAGTCTGAAACTTGAAGCAATAAGCCAATAACCCCAAAAAATCAGCACTAGCCTGCATACTGCTTCTCTACAAGCAAAATTTGTCCAACATGTGTGTTGGGCCAAGTCTGTGGGCTTGCTTGAACAGATCCACGGTTCCACAAACTCTTTTCCTAGCTTGAGTCACTAGTATCAACAAGTCGAGTTAAACTTGGCCTGGCCAGTAAAATTTGGCTTGGTTTAGTGCTGAGCCATCCCTCTAGTTTTTCCACCTCTATGTTGACAAGTGTTTTGTATTTTCAGGAGCTACTCCAAAAGGTGTCCTCAAGCTCATGAATGTTGAAGGCTTAACTATTTACCATGTGAAAAGCCACCTGCAGGTATGACTTTATGTTTGTTTCTTTGCTAGTTATATTACATGGATATATGGCTTAGGATTTGTGTTTTTTCAATTTCAGAAATATAGGACTGCAAGGGTCAGACCAGAATCACCAGAAAGTAAGTCTAATAATTTTTTCTTTCATTTGCTGATAGTCTTAGCTTCCTTCTCCTCTTATGACCTCGTGTAGTCTGAAATGTTAATTGACAATGGGCTAAAGCCAGTGGCTGGCCACATCATTCTTACAGTCTTGTTTTGAAGTGATAATTTCTAGTTTCTTAAAACTGTGCTCTTATCAAAAAATGTCTTCTGCTTAATCCAAAAAAATGAAAGGTACTCAATATCTTTTAATTGAAGGTGTGTAATTAAGAGCTTGGAATTTTGTATGTGGTCTCGGGCTATGTTCAGTTTACTTGATCTGATATGAAATTTTCTTATCTGATTTGTTTTTTGTAATGAGTTGACTAAACTTTGACTTTAATTGTACACTAATTCTTAAAAAAGTATTATTAAATGAGATGCCGTTAGGGGCGTTAGATTTGTATTTAATATATATATTTACCTTTTCATTTTTTTTTTATTCATGGAATTAAAGCTCTGTAGCGATAGGCAAATGCAAATAGAAAGATCTGGTATGATCTAGTGATCTGGTAACGGTATGATCTAGTGATTCTAGTCTAGTCTGATAATTTCTGAATTAAGCAATTATTTTCTTTAATAAGTTCAACTGAACATAGCCTCAATGCCTCTTTTATTATTATCCAAAATTGTTTAATCTTAGAAAGGGTAGGTAATACAGAAGGAAGTAGTCTCAACCTCTCATTCATTACGTCATTGTAAACTTCTTCAACCACTGAAAAGAAGTGTGAGGACACTATGGACATAGTTTAATCGTTTAAATTAGAAATAAAAGATCTTTCTATGTATATAGTCTTGCATATACCATCATATGCATGATGTAAATTAGAATTGTTTCATGACTTTGCATCTTTGTAAAAGCTCTCTTGGAATCAGATTTGAGGATAGCTACACAGGCTCTCTTGATTCTAGACACTGTATTAAAATAAACTGTTTCACCAAGTTGGAAAGTGATAGAAGCAATCAATCAATATTTTACTAAACCATTGGACCTACTAAATCAGTTTGTAGCAAGTAAAAACCATTCTTCTTCATATTCTGAACCCGATATATTCCTCCTTTTCAAAATTGATAATCTGCAAGTAATAGTAATAGATTGCTATTCTGCCTCCTTTGTAACTTACAATTTGTCAAAGCGTCATCTGCCCACGAATTTTTTGAAAATTAGAAGAAAGAGCCTATAATTAAGGTTTGTAATAGAAGCAATTGTTGAATATTGATGCGATGATTCCTTTTTCTAATTTCTAGTATGTTTATTCCTACCCTAAGGAATAATTTAGACACAACTAGAGAAGTACATAAGATCGTGAGCAACTTACTTTTGAACAATATCATTATATGTTACTTGGAATGGCATATTTGCCAGTGTACTGACTGATGCATATACAAATTATGGGCTAGATTCCTACAAATTTCTCTCAGTGGGAGCTTGGGAGGAGTGATGCCAAACATTGATTACCCAATTTGCTCCATACAGAAATTGTAATGCTGGAACAATTTTTAAGTGATTTATACGATCTAGTGTAGTCTGTAGCTTAAATTACAATAATAATGTTTTGGGCTTTTATTGCTATATGACCTTTTATTGCTTTGGCTTTTTTTATACTATATTTCCTCAGCATAAGGAAAGAAGTTTTAATTACAACTGTATATTTCTTTTTGCTTGCTTGCACGTGGTCTAAAAGCTAGAATGTGAAAATTCATAAGCATTGTATATACTAATTGATTGATTACTTTTTGGAAAATGATTTGTGGCCCGTAAGGTATTTATAAGGAGCTGAAGTGTAATTTAAGCATATATCAAACATTAATAACACTAATCGATGTGTGTGATTTTTTCCTACATTTAACCAATTTAGGAAATATATTTAATGTTTATACTGAGCCCTTAGATTGTGTCTTTGTCTCCATAACCAAAATTTTTAAATGGCTGTATCGGACACTCAGATGTGTACCCCTGTTTGATACTTGTTCTTGAGTCATGCAGTTATAGTTAGCGATTGACTTTTTCATATTGCACCAAATTGACAATTTGCGGTTTGAAAATTAATGACCTTGAGTGCTTATCTGTTGTATCTACGGCCTCCTTGTTTATCGTATTTTTATCTTGGTAAGGTAGTGGCATAAAGCTGTTTGGTATTTTGCAGGAGATTTAGAGAAGAAAAGTGGTTCCACTGAGCAGGTGTCATCTGTAGACTTGAAAACGTAAGTGTTTACACATAACAAGGGTTAAATTATCTCATTGTTTTCGGTGTTACATCTAGTTATGATAAAGTATCACGTATGGTTTGAGATGCTTGGTTAATAATTACTTGAAAACGTAAGTTTACATCTGTAGACCTGAAAACATAAGTGTTTACACATAACGAAGTATGAATTTATGATTATTAAAGCATAATGTTAGCTACAAAACTTTAGAATATTTGGGCATATATGCCTGAACACATTTAGAATCTGGAGGCTATCATTGTAGTTTCTGATGCTGGGAATCTATCAAAGATCAAACATCCTGTTTTTCCATGGAGTTAACTTTATACTCTGTGTAGTGTGTATGCCTGCTTGCTAATTCTGAGCTGTCTTTGCCTACTATTACTCGTTGTCCTGTGTGTTTGAACACTGTTTATATCATGGCGTCACATTTCTAGCATTTGAGCCTCTTGATTCTGCTCAACCTCTTTATAATAACATGGTAACAAATTTACATGTTAGAATTTTTCGCTTTGTTGCTGCTTATGTCCACCACAACCACACCCCGTCCCCTGCGCCCCACACACACACGTTTCTGATGCAGATTTCTTGTCACCTATATTTGGGATTTTCCTTTGTCAGTATTTTGATGTCCAGAGTTTTATATTTTCTGATTTGGAAGACTTGTCTATTTGATAACAGGAGCGTTACAATTACTGAGGCATTGCGAATGCAAATGGAAGTTCAGAAGCAGCTCCATGAACAACTTGAGGTATGTTGAAGTGTTTCTCGACACAGCTACAGCTTCTTGAATGAGAGAAGGGCCTAATTATTATAATTAGACCCCCCACTTAAGCATGAAACACACCATTTGCTTAGTACTTGCCTTTGCCCTTGGTGCACCCCCCCCCCTCTCTACAGTTGATAATCGCTCCATCTTACTAAAACACGGTTTCACTTTTTTACATTCCTATTTTTTACTGCAATGCTTAAATTCATGCATCTTTGTTTCAGATACAACGGAAACTGCAGTTGCAAATCGAAGAACAGGGGAAGTACCTTTTACAAATGCTTGAGAATCAGAATAAGGCGGAGAAGGAAAAATCGAAATCCCCTCCTAAAGACAAATCAGAGGCTTCCGCCAGTGAAGCTGGCGGTTCAGATTCTCCTCCATTGAAGCGTTCTAGGACAGATGATTCAGTGCATTAGTATGATTTATCTTCGGGCTCTTGCCCTTTTTAGATTGACCATTGTTAAGGGGCTGTAAGTTGTCCCCATGATGTTAGGATGAATTGTACTCTTTTCTCTCTATCTCTTAACTATAGCAAGTAGATCTGGATTTCTGCTACAGAATTGTCTTCTTTTGTAGGTTCCCTCTATGAAGGGAGATTGTCGAGTTGGATAAAAACTGATAAATGGTGATCAAGTTGTATAATTTAGTTCAATTACTGTATATTACTGATTCCGATTCAGGTTGTCTGATTGAATGTTATTGTGTCGATACCTATATTATTGGTTAAATAAGAATAGCATACGACAAAAACAAAAAACACATTATTTTACTACAAATGCGAAATAGTTAGGTTGCTAAGAAAATAAAGATAAAGTTATTCCATCCGTCCCTATATTTAGACATGTTGGATTTTTTTTTACTATATACATATTCCTTTCGTTTGAAAAAGTAAAAATATTATTAGTAAAAAATATAACTTCAAACATATTGACGATAAAATTTATTTAAATATAAGTTAAGATCCATTCAAAAAAAAGTTATATATTTAAGATCAAATTCTCATACTCCATAATATAGTTATCGTTTATTAAAATTCACGGTAATTAAGAAATGGGAGGATAAAATACATAAAAAGTAAAGTAAGTGAGGGCACAAATAATAAGAAGAATTGTGAGGGTAATTTCATATTTTGGGTAGTGCTATAAATAAAGACAAAAATAAGGGAAAAAAATGCAACAAGAAGTCGAGAACAATATTTTGGGGACAACAGTATTTTACATTGGATCTTGCTAACGAATGCCCCTGGATGTTAGATAAGCATATTAACTTGGGGTGTTTGGTATGTGGGTGTAGGCACGTAAAATTTATACATGTACCACATTGAATATATACGGGTCAAAGTCAAATTATTGACTCGATGGTTGCTTGACTATTTATTTATTTATTTAAATTAATTAATTTGGGTGAAATAAACTAAGTTAGCCCATTTTAATTAAAGTGTTTTAAGGTTATAATAGTCTAGCCCAATATTGAAAGCCCAACTCCAATGTACATCAAACCCTAACCTTAGAAGTACCGCACTCTATAAATAGAGCTCTCTCTATTTTATTTGGAGAGGAGAAAACAAGGAGACTACATCAGAAAATAGAGAAGACCTCTCAAAACTCTAAACCTCTCCAAAGAAAACCTCTCAAACTTAGAGGAAGAGCAATAAGCATTTGACGTGTAGTTCTACTCTAGAAAATCATATGTGGAAGAGATTAAGCCTCGACGGCCCTCAACACAGGAAAAGAAGAACTTCAAAACATAAAGAACATCACCAGTTCAAATTCTACATCAAATAGTCATTGATCGAGATCAAGCCTCGTCGTCCCTCAGTTAAGAATACAAGTTAAAGGTCTACATCAACAACAAGTCAAAGGTCTACATCAACAAGAAGTTAAAGCTCTACATCAACTATCTTCGATCGAGATCAAGCCTCGACGGCCCTTAATCAAGAATAAAGTTAGCTTGTGGAACATGTCAAAGTGGAGATCGAATAAGAGGAATAAATTAGAGATTGTACCCAAAATTATCAAATTAATAAAATCAATATTTTGTTTCATTTATTTTGAGTCTATATTTTGCAAATTTAAAATTTGTGTTTACAGTGGGAATTGAGGGTGGGATTAAGAGTTTTAATCCCAATTCAAGAAAAAAACCTTGTTTGTTTGATGAGAATTGGAATAAAAATAGGTTTGAGAATAAGAATATTTGGGGGAGAATTCCCACCATTTTATTACCTAGGGAAGGTAGTTAATAAATAGATGAGAATGAGAATAAGCTTAAAATGACATTTTTGTTATTAATGAAAACAATGAAAATGAAATATTAGTAAGGGCATATTTGTAAAATTGTTATTTATTCCCTATATATTCTCACCCACTATCCCTATTGACATATTTTCATGAATTCCCAACAATTAATTCTCATTATCATTCCCACCTTTTAATCCCCAAACTCTCATTCCCACATTCCAAACGCCGTGGTATTAATTTGAAAATACATGACAAAATCACGTATTAATCGGTGTAATTAATATTTATCGTAATTTAATATATCTATCTTTACTTATCTTTATAATCCCATTCCTCCGGGCATTCATCGCTTTTTGCCTTTTATATTTAGCTTTAATTTCCAATTTTACAATTTCCTCCAACCAACCATAACTTGTTCAGCAACTGAAACCCCAACTCATCGGAGATTGAAGATGTTGTTTCAGGTGGGTGGGCAGGGCACTCGCCCCACATTCTTCGAGATGGCGGCTGCTCAGCAGCTTCCTTCCAGTCTTCGCGCCGCCCTCACTTACTCTATTGGCGTATGCTTCTTTCATTTCTTGCTTAAATAATCTCTAATCTTAGTTGTTTACTTCAATTACTCGTTTCTGGGTTTATGAATTGATGATTTTTGGTTAAAATTGGTGACTTTGTTGTTTTGAGATGTTCTATTGGTTTAAAATTTGATGGGTTTTAATCAAATGTGTTAGATTTTGGGTATGTAGTGATGTTGATTGAGTTTCTAATGATTTGGTCAGATTAAGTATTGCGGCGAAGAAACAGATTGCGCTTGTGATTTGTAGTTTGTATTGGAATTTTGATTAGTGAAACATGTTTGTGTTGGTTCGGTGAGTGAATTGACCCTATCTTCTTTTACTATAACCTCACATATTGACCCAATTTATTAGTTGTGATATATATGTGCGAATATGATATTTAAGGCCAAAAGAATGTCGATTTTGTGGGATATTTTGAGTTTATGATAGGTGGTAGCTATCTATCAAAGAATTCCGTAAACGGTGTTTGCTTAAAGGAAGAGCATTTATTAGAGGATTTCGAAGAAGGAAGATAAGGGGTGTTTTCGACTATGATACATGATTTACTGGTGGTGTTAGGTCGCTTTTTTAAGTATTTTGTCACTTATTTTTAGGAATTGGGTACTAGAGGGTGCACTAAAGGACTTCATTTTCCGTTAACTTCTCCTGAGTAGAAGATTTACTTAGGGGGGGGGGGGGGTGAGACCATTCATATGTCTTGATTATTTCTATGGAGGTACCACTAGGATTAAGTGTTGGTTTCGTCCAAAAAAAAAAAAAAAAAAAGGATTAAGTGTTGGTTTATCATTACAATAATGTGCTTTTTGTTTGCCAATATTACTAGAGAACACATGTCAGAGAAATCTGAAGTGGTAAGCACAAATAATATTAGACTACTTGACTCCTTCGCCTTGTTTCTACTTCTGGGCTATCAATATGGGAAACTGATCCTTCTCCCTCCTTCCTTAGATACATCCTGTCCAACCTGGTGCTAGTCGTGCTATGTGTCAGATTAGGATGGTGAAGTACAAATGCAATTCCTTCCATGACATGTATTTCTTGATTGATGGGTTTTTGTGGAAATCATGCTCTTCCATTTGGTCCTTTACTGAAAATATGTTATAGATCATTGTAAAATTTGCTTACTTCTGGTTTACTTTAATGTTTTTAACATCATTAATAGTGCTCTGAAGAATGGGGTCAATCATGATATTATGATATGCTCTTTTTTGTCCCTGCAATATATTCGTGATCAAGCTATTTTTTTTACATGGTAATATGGCACCTTCTGTAAATTCTATCCTGTAGACGTGTTTCTATAATGATTTAATGAAGAAACTGTTCTGTTGTTGCTTCTGTGTTTATGACCAGTTACTCGTTGGTGTGTTGCTTGTCTTTGTTTATTTGAGAATAAGTGTATGATTGTATGTGATCTTGCAGGTAATGGCTCTAAGAAGGCCAATTTTACATAAAGTGTTGGACTATGAGAATGAGTTCTTTGCCTTGTTGATGCTAGTTTTGGAGACTCATAGCATGAGAACTACGGGTGATCTTTATATAACATTTTTGCATTCTCCTTGCTTTCAATGTGCTTTCACATGATAAAGGAATTTTAGAATGATATTGGAGCTCTCTTAAATGTGTTGTAATATGTGTGAACTTATACTTGATCTGGCAATCCCCAGAAGTACATTGCTTGCAGAGCCCGTCTTGAAGTGACCCATTGATCTGGTGTCAGATTGTTTTTCAATATTTACTTGATCTAGCAATTGTTTTTCCAATGTATAGGGCTGAGTCACAATTTTAAGATCCTTAGGGGCAAGGCTGCCTTCATTTTGAATTCTTGACCTCTCCAGACTTTCAGAATAATCCAGGCCATGTTAATGTCGGATCCATTTCAAGCGATTGTGTTCTTTTAAAAAGGGGATTGATAAGGAAAGTGTGTTAGGAGTCTTAGGAAAGTGATCATAATGTTATTGGTAGTAACTAGTAAGATTAAACCATTTACTCCAGTGATTTTTGTTGACATTCATTCCTCTTAAAATCATCCTAATAATGAAGTATCTGTTGTGGTCTTATTTTTTATTATACTTTTCATTGCTTTCTTAGGATCCCCTGAAGTTTTTCTTTTGCTTGGTATGTTTTCAGATGCATCTTTCTCAGAGTCGTTATATGGCTTGCGAAGAAGAACAGTAAAATTGAAATTGAAAAAAGATGCTCTCCATTCCAGTTCCACAGATGGGATTCAGCTTTCTGGGATAGAAAAGCACCAAAGAGTCCTTTCTGTTGTCTTTCTGGTATGCTTTCTGTATGTTTGACTTTTATATATATTTATTAAATCATCTGTATCACTGTGACTGTAAATACTGAGTGGTTTTAATTTTTGTAACAAGTAGTTAAATTGTCATATATTGCAATCCTCTTTGAATTTCTGATCTCTGTGCTGAGATGTACAGCTCACGACACTTTAAATGGGCGTAACCATTAAGTTGTATATGGAAATTTAAATATAATTTTTTTTTTCTTATAGCTTATTTAAGAAAAAATGCAAAATAAAAAGAGATGAAAAAACTTGGCCTTGAAATTTGATATTCTTTACGAGCTGATCCATTTAGAGGGTCTTTAGCTAGTTTGAAATTTTTTAGTTCCTCACAAACTTATTTTTGTAAGGACTGAACATTCTTTGCCTCTGAAAATGTGATTGTTTCTCTCCATTTTTTAAAAATCTTTGTAGGTTGTGTTACCATATTTTAAGTCAAAATTGCATTCAATATATAGCAGAGAAAGGGAAACTGCAGTGCGTGCTAGCTTATGGGGACCAGGTGATGAAAGTTTTGATGATGCTGACTATCTAGATGTGGCAGAGAGTCCAGTTGACCAGACTAGAACTTCAGATCAAGATCTTTCATCAAGAGAACGAATCTTGCAAGGAGCAAAGAAAATTATAGCTGCTTGTTATCCCTGGATACATACTGGCCATGAAGGTACTCTATATCTAAGAGCTGAGTTGCTTATTAACTTTTGATGGTGCATTTTGCTTTGTAATTTTCTGATAAGGATGTGATCATAAACCGACAAAAGTCAATCTGATTTATTGTTGGCCTGAGTGGCACTATGGCTCACCTATGTTTGTCCTGCTATATTATGGTAAATGCATAATCCTTTAGCTTATTTGTATTAGGAAAAGGTATCCGTTGAACACCACCTCTTGCCACCTCAAAGCCATCAAAAACTACTTTCACCTTTCTCTCCCTGAACATCAATGGAGTCCACAATAGCCATCCATTGCCATTGCTAATCGGGCTTTTTTACCTGCTTTTTATCCTTTATCATCGATTGCAAGTTGAAGAAGATCAGCAAATTACTGGAGGACGTGAATCGAATCAGTGCAATATGAGGTAAAATTTGTTATTTGAGGGTAATGATGGAGAATTTAGCTATTAAGCTTAGAACGACGATTATTCCATTTCTCTTTCTCTCTCTGCGGGCATGGTTGCTAGTAGACTGGTTGGGAGACTTGTCAATGATGATGTGAACTGCTGCATGGCGTGTGTCTGTGTTGGAGTGTATTTTATCGCTGTGCATGCACATATCTGTTTTTGTGAGCTTGGTGGATAGTGAGTTGGGAAAGGGGGCTGGGAAGGCAGGAGAAGATGAAATTTGGTGGCTTTTGATGGATAACCATGCTTGTATTTATCTAATTCCCCTTGAAAGGGAACTAGAAGTCCTATTGTTACTTTGGTTTACTTAGTTGACCTAACTAAGGTAGTACAGTCACAATACTACATACGAATTGAACCAGGAAAATAATTCCCTTTGATTTTTACTTTCCTGGTTCCACAACCCCCTTTATTTTAACTGCTTACTTTAGTTATCTTGACTTAACAATACTGAATTAATGTTGTTGCCTCAACTTGCTGTAACGAACTAGATGATTTTAAGAGCTAAACTAATCAGGAAAGTGATTGAAAGAGAGATTGAGGAAAGTCAGGCAGCTATTCATTCATTAAAAAGAGCAACTTTCTTACAAGGAGGCTTGAGGCCACCACTCTCCTTAGTGTCTTTAGGACACAAATCTCTAGATCTAAATCACCACAATACTCAAGATACCTAAGCAAGTTCCTGCTTCCCCTTTTTATATGTACATCATCAGTCCTAGAGGAAATAAGACAAAAATTAGGAAGGCAACAGCTGTCACAATATGACATGCTGCCAGCTCTGCAATTCAGTCCTTTGGCTGCTCCTGAATGGTGTGCTGCTACACTACCCATTGCTGCTCCCCTTCTCCTTCCCCTTGCATAGCATTCTGTCCTTTCTTCCCTCTTCTTGTATATGTGATCAAGGCCTTTTGCTTGCTGTGCTTGCTGCCTAAGACATTCGTTGCACTTGCATGCCTTTTTCTAGTGTATAATTGTTGGAGTTGATCATTTTCATGTTTGTTTCTTGATAAACAGTTGAAATTTGAAGACATGTAAATTACAGCCTACACACGCGCGCGCAGAGACACACGCGCGTACACACACACGCATACCCACCCACACACACACACACATGCACACACACACGCATACACACCCACACGCACACACGCACACGCACACGCACACGCGCACATGAATTTGTGTGCTGCTATTCTTCATTATATTCATAGTAGCAAAGCTCATATATATGTATAATTTTTTTCTACATAATAGTGGCAATGCTGCTCGGTGAGTATTATAGTCATGGTAACAATGTTTCTGTGTTTGAGCAATGAAATTCTTCCTGTTGATTTGACTTCTGAAGAACTTTTTGTACTGTGGTCTCTTTAATGATTGGTTAGTCATTATAATGAATAATATTCAACATCCAGGATTAACATTTGCTTATCAAACATTGTATCTGTTGGATGCTACTGGATTTTATTCTCTTGGACTGCATGCTTTAGGGATCCAAGTCGGTCGGGCTACTGGACAGGAACTGGTATTACTTTTGTTCACGAGTCTTTGTATCAGTGAAGCAGATTATCTGTATTTTCTTATGTTGAGCTTAACCTTTTTCATGTCAAGGTAGATGGATGCTTCTTCGAGAATATCAAGGATGAGAAGTCGTGAACGTGAGAGACTTCGTGGTCCTCCATGGTTAAAGGTAATGCTCTATCCAATACTTACAGAGTTATAGATGAGGAGAAAAGCACAATTTCCTGCTACCCATACACAAGTATCTTCTGTATCTGTTATATCACTTTATGAGCAGTGGGTGTGGTGACTGTGGTCCGTGTGGAATTGGATGGCTAGAGAGGTGTATTAATGTTATTAAATTTCAGAAAGGCTTACCAGAACTCCTTAAGTCATTGAAGACAGTAGCTGAAAGCTAATCCCAGTCACCCAAAAGGGGGAAAAAGTCTCTTTAAAACTCAACTTTCTGTAACTTTCTCCCTTTGCAAACGAATACCATTTGTTTCAAACAAATTCCTTATATTGACTGTCCACTCGAGATTTCATATTGTTTGAAATCATTGTTATGCTTTCCTTAAGCAGCTACAGAAAAGGCAGCAAAAGAAACTTGAGCTATGCATTCATCAGGAGCATTCACTTTCTGGTTTTCACGTGTCAATCAGTAATTCTAAACAGCCAATTCTAATATAAGTTCAGGTCATTTACTCAAGTGTTTTGGAGCTATTGCAAAAATGAATATAGCCTGTAAAATATTGTCTAAATAGTCAGAGGGCATGTTTTCCAAAATAAGGCTTGAGAAATCAACATGCTACAGCTAACAAAGTACCCCATCCATTTCGTCAAAACAACAAGAATCTAGGGCATATTGTATCTGTCTCTTTTCAATTTGAGTTGAATCAATAAAAAGAAAAGAAAACAATATTCCTTATGTTGCTTTTCATCACTTATGTTGCTCAATATATTCTCATACTTATGTTGGATATGGTTACATGTGCAAGTGTTGGACTTGGCTCATTCCGCTCATTCATGAAAAGGTTGATCCTAAAATATAGTGTCAAGTACTTGTTCCCATATCTAACAAAGGTACTTAAGGTGAAATGAAGAGTCCGAGTAACATAATTTATGGCACCTATTGTTATTTGCTTATGGGTTTTCGATTTTTTTTTGCTCTATTGAAAAATTATGTGAAGTTTTTGTGTTAGTTTTTTTATCATATCGGACTACGTGATCATGATTTAGCATGCATGATATTTCAGAAATTGCAAGGAGCATTGCTCAGCTGTATGTATGCAGCACTTGATTATTCACAGACAGGGTTAATTGCTGCCGTATTTGTATTCAAGGTAAATGTATTCCTGTAAAATGTTATGACTGAGGTCTGACAATTTTGAAGCTCTATTCCAGAGAAGCTTAGCCTTGTTGAGTATAACTGATCATCATTGTCCTTCATTCCTAATGATCATGATTGTAGATGATGGAGTGGTGGTACCAGTCAGCAGAGGAAAGGATGTCTGCACCGACTATTTATCCCCCACCACCACCACCTCCAGCCCCAAAAGTAAGCAGTATCTTCGTACCTACATCCTAAGCACTCTCCCTCCTCCTCATCTCCCCCCCCCCTCCCCCCTCTCTCTCTCTCTCTTACCTCTCCCTTAAAAATCACGGAAGGAGAGTGTGTGCTTGTCTACCCGAATTTAGAGTTACTTGCTTATTTTTCCTCTATTTTGAATATTGGAGCTTACTTATTACTCTATACAGGCGGCTAAAGAGGGTATTCCACTGCCATCAGACAGAACAGTTTGTCCTTTGTGTTCGGAAAGACGTGCAAATCCTTCAGTTGTTACGGTATCAGGATTTGTTTTCTGTTATGGTTGCATATTCAAGTATGTTTCTCAGGTAAGGCTTGAACCCTTGCATTGCTTCTCAGATTTCAGGATTCTATTTCAACACAGTGACTTGTGGCTTTGTCTGCTGTTTTGAAATAAATTTCCAGTATAGAGCTCCTGTTTTTTTTTTTTTTTTAAAAAAAAATTTGAACTTGATTTTTTAGGCTTTCTTTTTTTGTTGTATAACTTGTATATCATGACTATGCAATCCATGCTTAACCTTTTGGCTGATGTTTTTGCAGTATAAGCTGTGCCCAGTCACACTCATCCCTGCTGAAGTCGAGGACATTAGACGGCTCTTCCATGACATGTAGACTATGTGAAAACATGGAATATGCCAATGTGCTTTTTTCTTGGCCGTGTTTCTTTTATTTTCTGACCTGAAAGATGTTTCAGTGTCCATTAAGAAGTATGCTGTAAATAGTTTTGTCCTGATATATTACATTTTCTAAAGATATAGATTGGTGTAAATCTCTTTCCTTTTGTATTTGTAGTCCTGGATTATGTTTGAGGCAAAGTATGGTGTCGTTAATAAGTTAAACCTTAAATGAAAGAGACCACCGCAATGGTTGTTGCTGGGTTGATACATCTGTAGCCTACGTAAAACAATAATAACAGCCTCTATGAAATTTGCAATGCCAACATTATGAACATTATGCTCAGCTTCACGAGCATATATGATTGACACTTTGAAGATGATGCCCACAACAATGAGATCTCTGGCTCCATGCAAATGTTTCATCAAAGAATAGGAACCATTGCAATCACCAACATTTGTCTGACAGATGCATGAAAGCAGTTAAGGACTTTAGCATGAAGAGAATAACCAAGGCAACCCCTTCGACTCCTAAGAGCCATCGATTTAGATGGTTTAAAATCAAGACTACAAAGAAACAAGCTCGGCCTAATTCTGTACTCGGAGAGGAAATGGGATGAGTACACACAACAGGGTGTTTATTGGGATATATAAGATAATGATTCATAAAATGAACCATTCATTAGGTTGGTTTCTAAAGATGCTTCACAATTTAGAATTCTGGATAGTTCATAACTTTGTAGCTTAAGCCTTTAACACTTCACAAACAAAATGCTTAAAGTCTTACATCTTGATTTACTGTCACTCTGTCACACATTGTTCTTCAAATTTTAATGCCTTTTTATTCCTCAAATTAACCCTGATATAGGATATTTGTAAGCTAAATTGCACGTATTCTCACGTTTAATTAGAATCATGTTTCAGCTGTTTGATCAAAAGAAAGGATAATAGGACCTTCAAAAAAATTAACACACATTTTATTGCAACTCACACAACCAAATTTAAGTAGTTACAATAGATCACACACTATTAGATATAGTCAATTGACCACACTAATAGAGCAAAGAAATAAAGAATTTGGGGATGGATGGGGGAGATTTTTTTTCTTTTCTTCTTTTCTGTTATACAGCATTTCTTTCCATCACATTGCTACAATCTGTTCACTGCCTTCTTTTTCAAGTGCTTTCTCCAACCTCGTTTCGAACGGTGTTGCATCCCATATCACTTCGGCGCTCTGCAATCAAATCACCAATTCACAGCAATACCATAATCAAAAGACATTAAGCACAAAAAAAAAATCCACTAATTATTGTAACAAGTAACAGAATTTAACAAAGACAGTTATATTGTCAGACTAACCTCTCTGAATCTGCTTTTGGTACTTTTTGTGCTTGACCCAGAATTAGTTGTCTGTTCTGTATGACTCCAGTAACTTCCAACAGTTCCAATGATGGGGATATCATCAGGATTCTTGCTCGGTGATTTCCTCGGCGAGGAAGTAGCCGAATGCTGCCTTAACTCCTCAAGAGTTAAAACTCCTAATATAGGTCTATCCTCAAATTTATTGGGTGAACAAGAACATGTTTTTCTGCCAGATGGTGAATTTCCCACTGAAACTGAGCTGCTTCTGCTGTTATTCTTGGGTGTTCCTTCTGAACACATTAGCCAGCTAGAAAGGCTTGTATCAACTCCGATTTCTCGTTCTGAAACAACCGCCTTTTTTACAGGAAAGCTGAAATCTTGGCCCAATGAAATCACATTCTCCTTTGCTTGAGACTGATCCTTTGATGCAAGCTTTGATCTTGCCTTAATAAACTTCCACTGACTGAGATTCTCAACCGGGTTCAATACTGAATCGACGTATTTATGAGCATTTTCGTCGAATTCACTCGAATTCGAGTCTTTATTAGATGAATTCTTGATTGGCATTGGGCTATTCACTTCTTTATCCCCTGTTTCTGACTCAAACCCCTGTTTTCTGGAATCTAAAGACAGAGAAAACAGAGATTCTGATGACTGTTCTTGACATTTCAACTGATTTTCACTCTCAACTTCATCATCTTCTTCATCATCAGTATAATCATCATCAATTTCACTTTCATCAGATGATAATTCATCAAATTCATCATCACTATCTCTACAATTTCGATACCGATGATCAGTTGGAAAAGAAAATAAGCTCGAAGAGCTTGAATCTGAACTACATTGACTACGAAAACCAGATTTCTCTTCTTTAATCTCTACTCTCTCATCTTTCTCTTCCTCTTCGTTTCCCTCGAAACCGACATCCAATTCTTCCTCTGTACGAAGATCTTCATAGATTTTCACATTCAAATCAAATGTAACCTTCTTTCGCTCACTCGAATTCGCCTTCTCGATTTTCTCTTCTCTAAACAATACAACAACCAATAAATGATTTGATTTTATGGGTATTAAAAACCAACAAATAATTACAAGAAAAATATGAAAAAACTTACTTTGAATCAGGTGTAAATTCAATTTGATTTTCACCCTTTTCTTCTTCTTCTTGCTCTTTAATCAAATGGGGCACTTGAAAACCTTCAACAGATTCATATGTCTGCAGCTGATAAAATATAAACATCGAACCAATACATTAAAAAAATAAATAAATAAAAAACTAAAACAAAATCATCAAAAATACAAGATGAAAAAACCCCTTAAAATGAACATACATGATGAAGAAGGGAAGATGGATTGGTGTTTCCGTTTCGTCTTCGACGTCTTCGAGAGCGCTTACAATTGCCAAAGCAGGTGGAAAAACAACCCATTTTATCCAGAATTGATTGATACTACTGATAAAGTTGAGAACTTGTGAATTGCAACTTGATCAGTGTTTAAAAGGGTAAAATGGTGAAGACCCAGAAAAGTGGTTAATCTGCATTAAGATTCAGAGAAAGAAAGAAGAAGAATTACATTGTTTTTCATTGAGGAATTGAGGTGAATGAAGATGAATAATGTCTGGGGTTTTGGAGGAGATGAAGGTTTTCGGAATTGTGAGTTTGAAGGATTAAATTGTCTTTTTCTTGAGTTTAGAAATATGACCGTTGGAAAAGTGTAGGGGGCTAGCTATTGAGCCGTTGCTGGCTGATTATACAAGTATCACGTAATTTTTTTTTCTTTTTTTTTTGGTGGGGTGTTGTATTTTTTTGGGCTATTAATTTTGGGTTTTGTTTTTGGATGTTCATCGATATAGTAGACATACAACGAGCTAGGCCCATCATAACTCATAAGTACATAGGATGATGTATAATTATTGGCGGAGCTAGAATTTTTGGCCGGTATACAATTAGATAACCAATATAAATGCATTCAAGAAGTGATAAATATTTTGTTTCTTTGGGTGTAGAGAGAATCACGACAATAATAATGTCGATGAGATTTGATTGTGTACCACCCCTAAGATTTTAATAATTAAGCTAGTTGGCTTCTATTCCATGTCTGTGCTCTCAGTTCCCTCTATTAAATTGCAATTGCAATTTCTTTGTGGCATATTTTGGGCATTAATCTTAAATAAGGAAGATTGGAGAATCGCTTAATATTGTTGTTGGCATTTTAGAGGAGAAGAAAATTTGTTGAAGAGAGAATGAGAGGTTTTAGTGAGTATATATTGAAGTTTTTATTTCTATTCTTTGTGTTGGGTTGCACAAGTGCTCTGCGGATTTAGATCCAATATTGCAAGTAGGATAAGGTACAACCAATTATAAATTATAATTGCCATTAGTTATAAGTTTATAACTAAAACCTTTCTGCCTCTCCTCTTCTCTCCTCCTCTCTTCTAGGGTTTCTCCAAATTATTGGCCGTTTAGGCCGAAAATAGTCTAATTTCTTCGAAAATTAGACTATTTTCGACCCTTTTCCCTTATTTTTCTTTAGTTTTGCAATTTAGTTTTCAATAAATCTACACGAGTAGTGTAGATATTTGTCCGTCTCCCTATGGTGGAGTCGTTAATTTTTGTTAGTTTTTGTTTTTGCTTAGGGTTTTTTTGTTTGTGTGTCAGGGTCTATTAAAAAGGTAATCATCTTTTGCCCTATTATCAGTTCGTTGGTAAAGAGTTGTCCGAGATCGCAACGGTTGTTAAATTTTCAAAGGCGTTCAAGTGAATCAGACGAAAATCATCCTTACGGCTATAACAAATCGTTAGACCGTCTCTTCGAAAAGGTTGTATATTCCAACGATGTGTGAAGAGATGTATCACATTGCAAGATCTATTCAATGATCGTAGCTTTGATGAAAGAAACCTTTATTTAATTCAATTTTATGTATTTGTTAATTTAGATTACATTTATTGATGCCATATGGCTTTTGATTAATAAATTGATTTGTTTCAAAAAAAAAAAAAGTTATAAGTTTATAACTAAACCTAAGGATATGTTGTTCCAAGAACTTATTACTAAGTTTATTTTAATTATAAATAATATAAAAATTTGTGTTTGTTTATTGTTAAATATATGAAAGTTTGTATTAATAGAGATTATAAAAATTATGATTTTGGAAACTACAAATTAAAATGAATTCAATAAGATCCTACCCAGATATTGCAATATCTTACATCAAAATTCTAGAAATTGATTGTGTTTTAGTTAGAACTTGTAATGTAATTTCCGAAAACTTATACTTTGTCTCTAAATTACAAAAATTGATATGTCTAAAATCATATAGAAAATTTCCAAAAACATTATTAATGTTAAAAAATTTATTCCTTTTAATATCCAAAAATTATATACGATTTATATGAAGTACAATATATATATCCTCTATGTTTCAATATATATATATATATATATCCTCTAATAGCTTAAATCCGTCCCATGCAGCAAAACTCACAAAATAACTTTTTTTATTATAACTTGTAGTCTTATTTTGTCGCATTTGTTGTTTTTATTTTGATTGAATTAAGAGCAAAATGAAACAAATTAAATGCACTTATATGACATTTTATGAATTAATCTATTAAGGATACTAAAAAAAAGGGTAGTTGTATAAAATATGGGCAAAAATCACCTACTCATACTTTAAATTTTCATAACTTAATCTGGATTTCTTTAAAGGTAAAGAAAAAGAATGGATTAGACCTCATCATCTTTCATGATTTTTTTTTTAGACCATAAACTTTGAAGTAAGGAGCAAGGCAAGGGGATCCCCATATCCAAATACCATTATTTTGGTAACGGGTTTACTTGATATTTTAGAGGTGTAAAGTTCAAATTTTACAAACTTGATAGCCTAATCTAAAATATATTATTCGCAT